ACGTTCATAAGTAGCTTGTATAAAATCTCTTAGTCAGTGTATTAAATTATCTTTAGACTGACAGCGCCCAAGTGGCGAACCAGTCTTCCCGCTTTCTCTTAAATAAAGCTCTACACAAACAAACAAACGTGAAAGTTCCAGCAAAAATATATATCTCATTCAGAATGAAATATACAACTTCTTTTAGTCGTTTGATAGTGCAGTTAGCTAAAGAAGATTAATATATATTTTTGCCTGAAATTTTACGTCGAAAGGCTAAGCATGGAAGAAATTATGTGATATTTGTTTTGACTACGAAGGCTAAGAATGGTTCGATTTCTTTAAAGCTTGTTGAAGTTTGATGATATGCAATTTTCAAAATATCGACAATTTGGGATCGAGTTTCGAACGTAAAACCTGGCTTATGCAGTATATACCTACGATTCTCCAGGATGGCCAGAGGATATTATTAAGAGCTTACATAAATAATTTCCATCTTAACTTCCGTATTATCACCGAGTTATAAAAATAAATAATGAGCGGGGGTAAAAACAGCACCCCGAGAGCGTTGAAACTTAATAGATAGTTACTTCGAAGTTTTAGAACAATACTTGTTGCACGTCCCCTATCCAGAATAACATTTTAGTTTGGATTGTTCGAAAAAACCCGAAAAAGAGTTGGTTAACAGTTTTTCTAAGTCATAAACCGCATTCCTTTTTCCGCTTTTTATTGCCATTGATTTTTGTCAAATTCTAAGAAATTATCTAATATAAACTGCTGCTGCATGAGTTTCGGCTATAAGTTTCGAGATTAAAAAATGATTCTTTACTAACGTCCAACGGTTCTGACTTGTAAAATTCGATCGAAACGATAAAACAGAGCAAAGATATGCTTTTGCAGTATTAATTCTCCATGGTAAATCGTTGGCTTTCGAAATTCTTTGGTCTCTATCTCTCTATCCGGATTCAGCTGGATCGCCTTCCTTCTTCCCACTAAAAATATCGGACGTTCTAGATGAGCGGCTTCGAATACATTTATATACAATGCAATTTAATAGCGGACCGAGTCTGTATAAAATATTAAATGAAACATTACGAGCCGAAAATCGCGACAATTTGAAAGCTTGGTTTTTATTTTTAAAACTATTTTTATCTGCATTAGAGAAATTACCATCAGTAGCACAACCAGTTTATCGTGGGGTTAAAGATGTAGATCTAAGTGATAAATATATTAATGGTGAAAAGTTTATTTGGTGGGTTGTTAGCTCTTGCACGTTAAATATAGAAGTTTTACAATCAGAACAATTTTTAGGTAAATTTGGAAAACGAACATTGTTTTCAATTGATAGTAAAAATAGTAAATCGATTATAGCTCATTCATACTATAAAAAGCTTGAAAAAGAAGTGATACTTGTGCCCGGTACTTATCTTGAAGTTGTTGGTAAAATAGATGCTAATAATGGTTTACACATTATTCAATTAAAAGAAATTGAACCACCGATTAAATTTGTTAAACCAGCAAATAAAATTCAGATGGCAGAATCAACGCAATTAATACAAAATATGAAACTAATGGAGAAAAACCTAGTACAGGGTCTGTATCCTGATGACTTTTATTTATTCTTATCTAATGGAAGCTGTGATTGTGGAAACTTATAAAAGATGAAAGTACTTCGCTTCTCGCTATTCAGAAATCGAGCTCTTTAAGATGTGAAATAACTTGACTACCAGATGCTATATGTATAAGCATATTAGAAGCTGTTTCAAGTCCAGCAACTATAGCTTCAGCATCATCGGGCTACACGTCAGGAGAGCAGTACTTTTTATATTTCGATCGTCGATAAATTGTCTTTTTTCGTTTACTTAGTTCGTTTTAAGTGAATTGCTTATGCTTATTTGTAGGGGAAAGTTCTCGTGGGAAAAGTAAACTTCTGGAAGTGATGGAACCCGGACACTGCTGAACACATAGGAGATATGCACTCTACATAAGTCGGTTAACGATTAGCCGCACAGATAGGTATCAAAAGAAATCTTTTGGTAGATGTTATTTCCAAAAAAGGTAGATGTGTTCCAAAAAAGGAAGGTGCAAAAAACACAAAAAAAAAACGAAAAATCTACTATAGTAACAAAATAAACGTTCAGCACTCGGTTTCGAATCTACTCATTTTTTACTCTAATTTATGTGTTGAGTTACTCTTGATAATAAGTTCTAGTCAACTCGAAACGTCGATTCATTTTAATAAACAAAATATAGCCGTTGTAAAACAGTTACTAGTTTCTCATCTGCCCCTTACAAGAAATAATTTCCGATTTGATATCGCAGGCAAGGTTTTTGAAAAATACTGTTGGACAGGCAAGAATGCACTTAACAGAAAATCGGTGTTTCTCTAAAAATATTCATCCAATCATTGTAAAAATTTCAGGGTATATGGCTTTAGAAAGAAAACTTAACGAAAAAGTACAAGATGTTCAAAATGATTTTAATCAACATATTGATGAACTAGCAAGTACAATATTAAGCAAGAGACCACAACCTGGTGAATGGGATTATGAAAATAAAAAACGGCGTTACATTCAACTATTAGCTTCATTATCAAGTGAAATTTTGAAAAATCCAAGCTGGTCTTCCAGAGATCCTCTGGAAAACTGGCTTAGGAAATGCTGCCGCAAATGGGTTTTGCCTACGAGAAGTTGTGTTCCGAAGTCACCTTTTCAATGCTGAAAACTGCAGGTCTCTGTCGCACTTTCATCGAAAGATATTCAAAAAATGGCCATCGGCACTGTATTTTGGGATGGATAGTACGTACTTTATTGAACACTTCTTGAAAAAAACCTGTAACTGTATGATACACTTGTGATGCTTTCTATCTGATCCACGCACTTAGTCTCGAATAAAGATTACTTAGCCTTGAAAATGTGTATTCAAACCAGCTTTGTATATGTGCTATTGCACCGCATGCATAACCTAACAAATTATCATAATTTGCTTTCCTCTGTCAATAATCTCGTTCATGTTCTTGTGGCTTATATGAATGTGCAATTTCGACGATTTCATTCGCGTTTTCTTCTACAGTTTCTCTTAACAGATGTGGTTTTCGTTTAAAAGTACTTTCAAGTTCATTCATGTCACCTGAATCTTCCACACTGGATTCAATGTAATTACCGTATACCTGCACTGTATTTGCTCCATAGTTTCGAATACTTTCGATAGCATTATAGTGAGCATAAGACATATCTAAAATCTCTTTCTACAATAAGATATACAGTTGTTGTTTCGCAGAATATAAAAGTGATTGATACACCGAATAGCATAAAAGATTGCACATCGCATACTAATAGTAATGTTGCCAGAATAGACAGGGTACGAATGCTGCTTTTCTCTCCCTATCTCCCTCTCTCTCACTCAGCTGGCTCAATGTTCAAGCTCTTGACATAATAATTCAAATAAAAAGGCCGTTCATTAAATAATTCTTATGTCGAAATTTCTGACGGAAGTAACAATGATCCAACTGATAATGAAAACGAAGTTTCATGTATCTGTTCTTCTCTCTGTGACACTGAAGAGTCTATGTCTGTCGATGAACCAACACTTGATGATCCACTGCTCTATGAGAATGCTAATACACACGTTTCTACAGCACTTGATGCTATCACAAACTACATAGCAGAATTTAAATTCGTGTTCAACAAAAAAGTTGTTAGATTTCGTGTACCTTTTGTTACCACAGGAAAATAATTTACCACGTCGAACAATATTAAAACAATTGAAAAAGACTTTTCTCTGCAGAGTACCGTGTAGTAATTGCATGAATGAAGTAGATCTAACAACAAAAGAATGTTCAGACACATGTAGATTAAACAGAAAAGAAAGAAGGACTAATCGAGCAATGTAATGCCGATACAGCTGCGTCTTTAACTGAAGTAGTGAAACGTATTCAGAAGTAAAACTGCATGTCTCTGTACTTCATCTTCTCGCAATGTCCGCTATAAGTTTGCAGCAATAACCGCCCATCTGCTCCAGTTCTTTTTACCCTATTCAGCTGGAAAGAGCTCTCATTTTTTCACAAATGTAGCTGGTTTTATGTTACTTGTTTTGCATTGCACAAAATATATTTATTGAATAACATTTTCGTGGTGTCCGATTTAGGATCTTCTTTATAGCGATACTTTTATTGCTTCAGAATGATTAATTTTCGTTTATATTCTGTTTACTGGTTAAATGAAAATAAAATTAACCAGAAATGGTTGCAGATTGCATGCTCAGAATTGTATCCGACGTTCACTTGGTTAACTCGGCAGTTGTCCAAACTACTACAGTTTCCTACCACCGCGTGTCGTTTACGTGTCGGCGATAAATACGTTGAAAATTTGTCATGTATAAGCAGCAATGCTGACGACCTGCATTTTCATTCGTTGGGTGAAATATTGTAAACGTTTCGCAAACATAAAGGTGGAAGAATATCAACTTATTCGGGAATTTGTCTTTCAGTAAAAAGAAAAATTTATTGATCGGATAAGAATAATGCACGAAAAGTAAGTTAAACATGGGTTTTGTCGAAGAACTTTAGCCGACCTGAAGTAACTTTGTTGAAAAGGTTATTGTGGAAATTATCATGAACCCAGAAGAAAAATCCAGAATTTGAAAAAGGAAAGTAAAAATGCAGGGGTCAATACTCGGAAGAGAGAAATTGGGATTAAAAGCCGGAATAAAAAGACGAGAGTGAAAAACAGGAGAACTTTTTTACTTAAGGAGTCTACCCAACTTTCGAGAAAAAACTATCAGTTTTCTTGTGTAAGTGGAAATACATAGTTTTCCAAGAGAGAAAAGTACGCTATTTTAGTGATAAACGAGTCATTTTCAATGGAGAAGGACTTGTTTTGAGACTGGGAGTTACCTCCAAAAAGTTAGTTCCCCTTTTGTTCATTATTTCACGCCCATGAATGCAAGCTGTTTGTTTCTGAAGTAAGTCGCTTTCCCCTTTAAAATGACTACCTTTTCTCTGTCAAAAAACTATGAATTTCTACTTATACAAAAAAAATGATAGTTTTTCCTCGAAAAAATTGATGGATTCCCTAAGTAAACAAAGTTTTCCAGGTTTTTCGCTCCCGCTTTTTTTTGTTCCGATTTTTTTACTTTCGAATTCATACATATATTCATTTTACTCTTTAAAACTTTAGCTAAAATACTAAACTAGGTAATTTTTTGACAAAACTGTTTAAGCTGTGATAACTGCTTTTAAAAAAGTAGCCTCGACTAAAACATTTTCAGTTGAAAACTTTCGTCGGAACTTGTGTTTGACTTGCGCATTTTAATGGTGAGCAAAAATTCCTAAAGCAATTTTCGGTGAATATGACAACTTTTTGTTTGCCGAAATACTTTTCTATAAATTGTTTCGTCGAAAGCAAGGCGTTGGGGGAATTTTCTTTGCCGGTTAAACGTCCTCGAAAGACCTTGCTCTGTAGTCTACCTCAACATATTTTTTGCTCACCTGGGACTGGATACAAAGGTGATAAGTTGCATAAGGTTAGTTATGAGTATTATTATTCTTATTAAGAATGCAACTTCTAGTTATACACAGTGAGACTCTATGATAGCAAAAATTCTCTAAAGCTATTTTTGTTCTACCTTAGATGCAAATAGAGCGAAACGTTCAGTGAGAAAAAACCGGAATACGTCATGAAATGTGTCCATGAATCCGGAAGTAAAAAAAACTGGAACTAAAAAAATCGGGAAATTGTTTTTACTATGGAGGCGTCCATAGTTTCTCTAGTAGAAACTACTGAAATTTTCGCGTGTGAGTAGAAATTCGCAGTTCCGCAGGGAAAAAGTACTCGTTTTCAGTGAAAAACAATTGCTCTCAGTGACAAACACCTCGTTTTCATGGACGTGGAAATGAACGAACAGGAAACTAACTCATGAGGCTGTCCCCGGACTGAAAACAATTTATTTGTCACTGAAAGCATGTCGTTTTTGTATTGGAAATGAGTAGTTAGTCACTCAAAACAAGTACTTTTCTCCCCCAGAAAACTATGAACGTATACTATTCAAAAATTTTAGTGTTTCCACTAAAAAAACCTATGGACTCCTCTCAGTGAAAAGATTTTCCGGATTTATACTATGTGGTTTTTTACTTCTGGACTTTTTATCTCTAGGTTTTTCGTATTTTTACTGCCGTTTTTTAGTTAAAAAATATCAGGTCATAGATTAGAAAAGTACCAGAAATTGATTCTCTTTGCATCAGAAATACTACCAATTTTTTTTGAGTAGCCTTAATGTGGAGATACTGCCACATGTTTTACTCAGTCCGGTTCCGATAACTTTGACAAGAGATCGGCACTCAGCATCTCTTAAAAATCTGTTTCTCATGCTACAAAGTTTTTTTTTCTCTTTTCAGGTTCGACGAGTTTGTCTCATACTAATCAACTTCTTCGTGTAAGTCTGTCTGTTTAATTGTCAGAATTAGAGTATTGTCTCAAAATCCGGTAGGAGAAAATCTGAGGAAAAGTTGGGAATTTAAAATTTTGATCGAAATGAAACAAAAACTTTGACGCTATCTATTTCGAGAGTGCATAGTTTTTCTGAAAACGTACTCAATGCATATAAAATAGGAAAAAACTATACTTTCTCTCGAATTTAGTAGTTTTTCTGAAACTGATATTTTAATGTCGAAAAATATTTCGCAAACAAAAAATTTGTCGAATAGAAAGTTCGATGAAAATGTTTTCACAAATAATTTCTGTCAAAAGGTTTTTCTAACAAACTTTTTTGCCGAACATAAAATTTATTGACAGCTCTTTCTGTGAAAAATTTTTCTTCGTCGAAGGTAGTTTTTTAAAAGTAGTCAATAGACTAATTTAACATTTCTTGCCAGAGATCAGGTAGTTTCACCAAACATAGGTCTTTTTAAGGAAAATTTTTCTACTTTTTTTACCAAAATATGAACAAGAAAATTGAACAGCTTAAGTTTCACGACATATGTCTAAGTTTCCTCTAAAACTCTCTAAATCTTCGTCAAGAACTGCCTTCCTCTTGACTATGGAGAACTTTCAAAAAATTATCTTGGGCGAAATAGTTAACGACGAGATTTGCTTTCAATTTATTTTCCATTCGAGAACAGTCTCGTCGAAATAATTTTTTTTGACAAAAACTAGTTGCGAAAAAATTTTCGTCGATCAAAGATCGTACCATTTTTTCTTCCAAGCTTTTGCGAATTGTATTCGTCATGAAAAATATTCACTGGTTTTTCCCCAGAAACTTTGCCGGTACCTTAAATTAAAAAAAATTGTTTTTTTTATTTCCGGATTTTGACATGTGTTCAGTGTTAGAAAAAGAATGCAAATATATTCTAGGCTGTACAACTTTATCATCCTGATTTCACTTTACCCAAGAGCGTAAAAACGGGTAAAAAGACGGGGTCCGAAAACTAAAAAAACGGCCCGTAATATTTCTCATTGGACGGGTCCGCCTCCCATTTGTTACGGGGTGACGGGGTCTGAACGGTTCAAAA